TGGATGATGATGGATGTATTGACATTGTGACGTATGTTGACCCCCGGATTCTGACCTTGCATTCTTGCCACATTTACTTTCATACCCGTTCAATTTCCTTTCCTTATTTCATCCAGATTCCATGATATTTTATATTTAAAACCAACCTTTATTTCACAGTCACTCTAGTTTTCACTTTTCTAAAATTATCTCACTGATCAAAAGATTTTTCACTCGCATCATGCAATCTCCCATAGTACTTCCGCAGACACAGAGGCGATCGCCAACATATCTACAAATAACCTCGCTCTCAGGAGCTGAGGAACAAGAGAACTGGTGATGGCTGTGAGCCATATCTGCCCCAGCACAAAGACTGCTGTGTAATAGAAAGGAATGTAAAGGGAAATGTATTGTAGTGTTACCTCTATGTAATTTACAATATATCTGAATTAACCTTCCCTGTGAAGGACAATGTGGGAGTTGACTTAAATGACTGGTAGAAGCAAGGCTTGGCAAATATTGCACAATAGTAGTTACTAGTAATTAGAATTACCAGTCACGCAGTCCTGTTTTATTGTGTGTGGAGGGGGGCTGCCACAATCATAATAACTGGAAATGGTTTCGGAACGGGAAACTGTTTTATTACTGTAAATATTTATGAACAATAAAAACTGAAATTTAGAAACTGTGACAATAAATAATGAAAATATGTGAACCATGACATTTATAAAGAGCACCGTGCTTAGATTATCTTCGAGTATACCTGAAATATAATCTTATAATCGCATGCGAGTCGTCAAAATGTACAGTTTAGTGACACTTTTAATAATTTAATAATTCCATGAGAACATCGCGATTTTCTTTTAACACATGAAACGAAAGTGCATAGGTCAAATTTTTAATACGCATACAAGCACCCGTATATATTTTGACAATAAACCTCGCTTTCACATTGTGCAAATACAAACACGATATTAAACCTTCCTGACAGTAACATGTAACATGTAACTAGGTAATATGACGATAGTGGATCCACAAATTCCAGCAATAATGTTGGACCACGACAAGCTTGTATTCTGGTATACAACTGAACCTAATATTGTAACATGGTCTGCTACAAGAGGTTTAAAAATGCTGTCCATTTTATTTAACGGGTTGCGCTCAAAGGCGTATCTATTACTGTGGGACACTTTCAAAAACAATGTCTTACAAAGTGTTTTATAGACCCGAACGAAAAGTCCTGAGTCACGGCGAATACTTTATGAGTCACCCATAAAAACGTCATCAACCAGCCTTGGGCAATCATTAAAGCGCGGTAGTGTCGCGCTGCGCATGTTCGACAGTTGTGTTGATAAACATTGATTTTCTCACAATCCAATGCGCTCTTCAAATGGAAATCACAAGTATGAGGTTTGACCTGGGCGCGACTTGCACTGATACCTTCGATACCTTCCAATCACATGAAAATTACCTAATTACAGCATGGAAACGTGTCAGTTCGTACTCGTTGATCTGCTACAGTCAAAGTCGCCATATTTGCTTATATGAGACCCATATATCTCGCACATGCGCAGCGCGACGACTACCGCGCTTTAATGTGCGGGGTATAAATACCCTGGAGAAGTATGTCCATTGTTTCACGAGAACGACTGTCCCAAAGGATTTTCGTCTTCTCAATTTCTCAAGATAAACGTCACAGGGTTCTTGTATTAATTTCTATTGTACAAATATTACCGCATCCATAATTGTTGAAACTTCGCAGCCGCCATGATGGATGTATTGTGACGTATTTTGACCACCTATGATTCTGACCTTGCATTCTGGCTGCATTTACTGCCCTTTCGTACCAGTTCAGTTTCTTTTCATTATTTCATCCATATTTCATGATATTTAATATTGAAAACCAACCTTCATTCCACAGTTACTCTAGTTTTCACTTTTCTGAAATTAATTTACTGATTAAAAGACTTATCACTCCCATCATGCAATCCCCCATAGTACTTCCGCAGACACAGCAACGGTCACAAACATAAATACAAATACAGCTCACTCTCGGGAGCTGAGGAATAAGACTTCTCATTTGAAAAAGACCACTATTAAACCAAGATTTGTGATTTTAAATTAAATTGCAACCCTGTATAAAAATGGAATTTAATTAAACCCAATTAAATTGCAATCTTATATAAAAATGAAATTTAATTAAACTACTTGTATATTAAATTGTCATTCTATATATGGTTGCGTTTTCATTGGGTTTAATTAAATTAAATTCAAGGTAGTAGAAATAGTATCACACACATTGTACATTGATTTATAATGTTTTGCGTAGCTTATGATTAGACAAATGGATAATGATGGCTACCATACTTTATTCTTTCTTTTACCCCAAGCTACACAAACTTAGAGTAAATATTAATAAATCACAAATCGCGGTTTCCTGGTGGTCTTTAACAAATACTTGGACACATTTAGAAGCCTAAGTGAAAAATATAACAATGTTGATATTCCAGAAAAAAAATATCGACACATCTGAGACGAGGCACATTTTTTGTTGAAATGTTTTAAAATCATTTCTCAAAACAGATGAAGAAACAAATATTTTTATTCTGAAAGGCAAAAATAACGAAATAAGAGGCGAATAACTTGAATATCAGGTCTAGTTTTCACTGGAAGCCAGCTTGAAGTAATAGTAGACACCACCTTCCCCTTTCCCAATAACCCCTAAAAATACTAGCCACCCTCCTTTCTTACTAGTGTCTAAATAATCGGCCACGATCCTCCCCTTTCCCGCTAACTCCTAAAAATATTAACCACCCTTATTTGCTCCCAACTAACTCCTAAGAAATAGTCGCTCCTCCTTCAAGTTCCCTACTACTTTCTCGGAAATTGTAGCCACCCTCCTCCCCACTAATTCTACGAATTAATGCCAGGTTTGGTTATTCTGCAGTCAGAATACAGTCATCACAACGACATGGGTCCCATGCGACGTACTGGTAACTATGCCCCAACAACGCGTCAACCACTCTAAATTTATGTCGACCAATTCTGTAGAAGAAAAAAATAGTAGGCATTAATTACACACAATTGAGCCATTATGAACTGGTTATTTTGTACTAGAACATGATTGTAGAATATTATATTCTCTTTCATTTGACACGAAATATGGTAATGACTTCTTTATACACAACATGGCCGTTACAGACAAAATGAACTATTTTTTTATGATTTAAAAAAGTGAATCCGGACCGCCAAACCTCTTTAAAAAAACGACGCCTCATGCTGCTGCAGTTTTTGAAACAAAAAAATAATTTAGTGAATTTCCAGTGTGATAATACAAATCCAGTTATATATAATATGCCAGGGTAATTGCACTCCCATAATGCACTGACTGTATGTGTGCACAGTAACTTGCTCAGTAGTGCTGAGATCGATTTCGGCTCGAGCTAAAATTCGAGCTTGAGGTCGTTGTTCAAACTTGTTTGCATGGCATATTGTAATCGTGGTATAAAACATGTAATCGTGGTATAAAACATGTAATCGTGGTATAAAACATGTAGTATATTACCATTATACCTACAATCAATCTGATTAAAATCTTATGTATTTCATTTTATATATTTATTTTACTTTGATATTTTTTTTTATTTTTTTTTGTTGGCTTTCGCGAACTTCAAAAAATTAATACTAGATCAAAATAAAATAAAATAATTATACAATATATATACAAAAAACAAAACAAAACTAGGATCTTATTTTAATCAGATTGGCTTACAATGCACAATTTTCTGTCACGTGTTTGCTTATCCGTTACATGCGATACTCTAATATGTGATAGTTGGAATGGAGAAAGATTTATTCGATTTAAAATAAGTGCCAAATTTAGCTTGTCAATAAATGATGCTAGCGATAGTCAAATATCCAAAGAAAATGCATCGTTTCAATTAGAAACAGCTCCCTCTGTGGTTATGTTTTGAACTTTCCTGAAATGTTATGTGGCGAGGGGGATAGCTAGTACAGGTTACGAGAAATAATTACGGTATTTTACGTTTTTACAGGAAATAAAATGAAAGTTCCATTTATAATAAAAAAATAGATTTTTACACTTTACAGATAAAGCAAATTCCTGATTACATTTTACGTTTTTATAATATTTTTGATAATTTGAGTTTACGAACCAAAATTGGAAATTATGACATTTAATTTAGAAAATGCTTTATACGCTTACAAAAATTAATATCTTTGTACAAATTACGGACGAATAAAATAGCTGATTACATTTTACACCTTGTCCATCTCTACGAATTTACGTATTTTATTCATTTAAATTTCATTATTACGAAAATAAAAACAATTGATTACAGCTTACGAAAATACCCCTTGCCGACCTACATATAGTTATCAGATCATTTTTTAATTAGTCGAAATACAGTCACTACATACATTCTCAAAATAAGTAGCCCTTTATAAACAGTATAGAGGTAAATCAGGTGACATTCTATTCATTTTTGACATTACTTAATATTTTGACAATAGTTATCCATTAAACTAGCAACATGGATATTTAGAGCCAGTTGAGTTGTTACCGTAGCAACAAGTCGAGTACTTATGAGAAGTTTTATGATGATGCTTTGTTTCAACCGAAACTATAGAAAAAATTGTAATATACTAATATACCAAATTCTGTTCTTGTGGAAATGTTATCAGAAAAGTTGCTGGCTGATGATGCTGGTTAATATTTCTTAGAATTCGTGGGAAGAAGGGGTGGCTACTATTTCTTAAGAGTTAGTGGGAAAGGATGGATGGCTATTATTTCATTTTACAATATCGCAACAAAGGAATACTGCTATGCATAATGTCAACTACGTTTCTATTTCATGATGAATCATACCATATTTTTTTGAGATGTATTTAATAATGTTACCCACAGTTCCCTTGTAAATAATAATTATTTGCGCAGCAACCGAATAAGCGAACATGCAATATTAACGGTGTTTTGTTGTTTATTTCATTTACTCTTGTAGTGCAGATGGTGCCACCAGGTGTAATAATTGCAGGAATAGGTGAAGAGGTCACCTTCGAGTGTCAAGCATCGCTGAGTGGCGGAAGTGCGGACGTTCAAGTCGATTATACTGTCTTCCATCCGCCATTCCCCGTTGGCGAAGTCGAAAATAGTGAGCTTTTGGTCATGACTGATATCAGGGATAATGGCATGTCTATTGTACGATTCCGGATTACAAGCATGGAGGCGCAAAAATCAGGACGATATATTTGCGAAGTGCCCTCAACGGGGGAAACCGTATCCGCTGTATTGGTGTCTCCGATGGGTATGTTCATACGTTCTCATCCCGAATACTCAAGATGCTGGGATGTTCCACCAGTACTGCCGGTACCCAAGCTCTCGAGAAAAATAGTAAAAATGTTAAATTAGATTTATGACGGTTTTGTATGCGGAATTTTTTTCATTTTCAAGAATTATTTTCACATACAGGTGCTGAAACATAATCCAGACGGAATAATGATGGTAACCCATTTCAAAACATTTTGACTCAAAAGTCGATCAGCATTGTTCGGCACACTCCTACTTTTCCAGTGAATGTACCATGGGGTCTCATAATATTCATAACTTTCTAACGCACGATTTTCTTATCAAAGAGTTAAATGAAATCACGTGTATTAACTTTATTTTTCTTTCTTTTCTCAATCCAACTACCAGCCCTCGCGAATCCGAATGGAATTTTCGTAGCACAGCCTGGCGACACCGTCACTTTAACCTGCCTCGCCAGCAACTACACGTCACTTGAAGCTAGCTTTGCGCGTGACGCAAGCTTCTCCAATTTCTGGCCCGTGACTTCGTCTTACAGACGCCGCCGACGTTCAGTACGCACGACAAGGAACGTGAATACTGATGAACTGAATCTGTACACCAGTATTACAAAGGTCATGGACAATGTGGGTCAAGCTGATATGGGTAGATACGTATGCCAAAGTACAAACACAGAAGATATGAACGCCAAAGACACAGTGGACTTGATTGTACTGGAAGGTAAATATCAGGGTATAACAATCTGGGGATAGTTATATTTGTTGCATTTGCAATTTACAATTGACATTCGGCATGCGATCACAAATAATAAGATTGTATTCACAAATTTAGTTCTGGTGTTCACTCTTGATTTTAACCGTAACTCTAAACACCATCCGTCCTCACATACTCACATACTAACAAACTAATTATCCTCCAATGTCTGTAGAGTTCAAAATGCAATCGCCCTATCAGTTAATGTGTTACTAATGACCAACACTGCAAGCTTTGGCTGATAAAAGATATTTCGTTCAACTCAAGGCAGTGAGTCTCATGAATGTTTACAATGATGATCATAATTGTAAACACATGATATTGAAAAATATATTCACAGATTAGCATATATCCAGTTTAACTAATTCGGGGGATTTAGCAAGAAATGAGTTACGTACAGATGTCATTCAGAACCCTTCTACAAACAGTTTGACATGCACGTAAACTCACAGCTAATCATGCCATTGGTCGAGTACAGAGTGCATTAGTTAAAATGATTTGTATAAACAGTAATTTTTATTTTGAAGTGTGTACAATGGAAGTTCATTCTGGGTGTAAAATTGATACAAATCAACTACTAGTATGTTACAAAGTGTCGATGTATACAATATCTCCATGTAGAACATTTTTATACTCATATTGTACTCAAAATGCATTTACACAGTGTTCGTTTCGCATTAAGAACATAATATTTAATTCAATTTGATGCAATTATTGTTTCCACTATTTTGTGTGTCCATCATGAGATGTAGGTGTGTGTAAATATTCAGAGTATATTGGGCGGGTAAATTGTAATTTAAGCTTGTGTGATTTACATTGTGGTGTTATATGCGGTAACCTACACTTTCTCGTGGTATTTCATTTTTGATCAGAGTCTTGAAAATTGATGGTTCCCTCGTGCAATTTTACCATATCTATAAACCCACACTTTATCGTAGTGTTTCTAACACTAAAAGTACAGCCAATCCAATTGGTGACGTACCAAAGAGTTCACTAGATCCTCAACGTGTTGATTATTAACACCTAAGGCACGGTCTCCTGAGTCTATAATTGGGGTTATCGAAACAATGAAATAAATGGTTTATACATATGCAAATTAGCTATTTATAAGCACACATTATTTTCAGAAAGTGATTTAATATTTTGCGCCTCGGAGGTATGTGTGTTTCAACCAATATTGACAATGGACAATTTGTGGTTTGGTACAAGAATAACGCTCAAAAAATGAAGAATGTAATTAGTTAGCCGTGTAGCCAACTATTTCTGATGATATCAAGTTTAACTAATTTGCAAGAAATCTGCAAGAAATGAGTTACATACGTACATCTGTCATTCAGACCCTTTCTACAAACAATTTACATGTATCTACATGTTTATTTAGAGACTGTTCTAAATCAAAATATATAACAATATCTACTAAGGTTCCTCACAAGACATGATACAATGTCAGGTTCACCTTCGCATTTAATGTATCCCCACATCTACAAATAGTGTGTCTACTTCTGTTCCATAGCACAGTCGTCTGGAGACGTGTATCCTGAAGTTGGGGATACCGTCATTCTCAATTGCTGGGTGAAAGAAGTCAGACAGAGTCAGCAGCGAGTTAACTGGTACTTCAGCGATACCTGGCTAAACAAAGAGAAAGGCTACTACTATGATCTCGACCAAGATGACGTATTTGATATAATGATATTTGGACAGACACTTAGCATATTAAATGTCACAAAGTCACGCTCCGGAACATATACATGCAAAGTTGCCATAACAATAGAAGATCAAGACTACTGGGCGTCGCCGAAGTATCTCTTTGTTGATGGTAAGTATTGTCTCGATTCTATAGACTAGACTAGACTAGACTAGACTAGACTAGACTAGACTAGACTAGACTAGACTGCACTGCACTGCACTGCACTACACTATGATGACCGCGCTTATGTCGTCAAAAGTAAAAGTGCGGTGCGAGTGTTCAGAAAGTCCGCAAGACGGTAAAACAATAACTACAGAAAAATACTGATAAGCAAAGCAAAAATTTGTTAGTTTGTCAACTTTCCATTTATTCATTTATTTATTTATTTATTTATTTATTTATTTATTTATTTATTTATTTATTTATTTATTGCCGTTTTAGTTGTGTTGACTGAATTGAAGTGTATTTAATTATTTCAAAACTACAAAACACTGACAACGTCTATGCCAGCTCAAAGCAATGGCTACCCTTTCTAATGTATGATTGTAGATGTGGGTTGATGTATTTCACTTTATTTGTGAAACCAATTGAGTCTACGGGAAATATGAATTCCACTTGTTGTAATTATGTTTTATGTGAAATTTACATCTATCAGCAACTTAAGTGGATGCGGTTACTAATTTCTAATTGAAAGAAAACAAAAAAGGCAGTAATCGACACCCATGTTTGTGTAGTTTGTTAAGAAAGCAAGAATTGTCATATTTACTTCCAAATTCGTCGAATAAAATAAAAATATGGCAATGCTCGGAAATTATTTTTTCTACAAACACGGTAGTATAAAGCTATAACGTTTTACTGGTCACAAGCCGAGTCTAAAAACGAATATATCACAACGAGGCGGAACATGGGACATAAGCCAGCCAAACAGTACGTTAAATGTTGAACACTGCATACGAATGAGACATTTTTGTCATTGTGTACAGATCGATGAGCTGGCTGGAAAAACAATGATTAAAAACAGCTAATCTACGTGATCGATGTATATAACAAAGACACACTTAGTGTTCTAAGAAGTCTAACCATACCAAACTTGGTAGCCATTTCGTTTATACAATACGATGTCATGTAACAGCCTTATTTCTTGCAAAATACCCATATTTCGATATGTATCTTCTCAGTTCACGGGGGACCAGCCGGACCAGTCAGCGCTCATCCGGCTCTCACAGACTTATCTGCTAATAGTATTTCTGCTCCACCAGATACTTCAGCTGCCACAAGTAAGTACTTATATAGGGCAATGCATGTGTAGACTTCAATCGTTCAGGCAGTGTACTAGAGTGAAAGGTCAAATGTATGAAGGATGGACGACTGAATTACAACACGTCACCCACAACTGCAGTTGGGACTGGACATACATATGCTGTACTATAAATTCACACTGCATGACAAACCAACCTATAAATATGTATGGTGACACTTCAAACATGACAAGCAGATAATCCACAGTCAGCTGGCGCACACGTGATAATAAAATAAATCCGATATTTACTATATGGGTGCCGCCATCTTGAATGACGCATAAAACTAAATTAAAGACAAGTTGTAAAACGCGTTTTTCAGATTCCTACAAATCAAGACAAAAATACCAATGTTTCACAAAAATACCGTCCGTTGGGGTTATATTAAGCCAACCGATAACAAAATTCGGCCTAATTCGTCGTTTTTGTGTGGAAAAATCCCTTGCATACGAACACCTAATTACGCGAAGAACCTAGAACACTAAGCCGGGGTATTTAAAACTAAAAATTGGCATTCCAGCTCAGCAGCCAATCAGCGACGGCCTAACGTTTAGATGACAATTTCGGTTTCAAATACCCCGGCTTAGTGTTCTAGGCAATAATTGGAACAGCGTATATTTCATGGAAATGATTGTGTCAATAATATTCATACAAGATTCGTCAGTAATCCCGCGAGATCTATTTTGATATAGTCGGTGATGAGAACGAAAACGCCGTCGTGTTCGCAAATACACCACCATTTTACAATTACGTCACTCCCATTTTTGATTACTTGTTGTGTGGCAGTTAATTAGACGTTAAAGCGCGGTGGTCGTCGCGCAGCGCGTGTTTGAATTTCATGTAAACAAACAACGTAATTACACGTGTTGTGTACGTCGCTATGAGTCCCACATCGTCGACCGCCGCCCTTTAATATGATCTGAACAGACGGTAATTACAACAAGAAACAGTTGAAATATTACTGTATATTCTTTGTTATTTGTGTCTGTAACTTTTAATGGTATATAGAGAGGATATCTCTTGGGTAACCCTCAGCCTACAAGATATTGTAGGTTAACGAATTCGATATCCTATGTATCCATTTCGCGGCTTCTACGACTATTCATTCACGCTCATTTGCATAACTGACATCACTTCAAAGACGTAATGTTCTTAAAAATATTAAAAGTTAACATTGTTATTTCACTATATCTAAAAAATACCATATACAAAACACCGCCTGTGTAAACCCCTGGGTAGGGAGAGCCTTTACTTTGATTTACTTTGATTTATTTACTGTATTTTTATTACTTTCTCAGGCTGATTTTTTTTGTGGTTATTAAATTTGTAGTTATGTTTAGTTGCATTACTTATATTTTATTTTACACTATCTTTACCTTACTGTATTCACAACAGATTACAGTTGCGTAATAATAAACTAAACTATATGTACGTTTTAGCCAGTATCTTAAAATATCGAACATATCACGTTACTATAATCCTTTGTAATAATTTAATAAATAATAGGTAAAACCACCAACATCTTATTTGGCGTATTTTGTGACAGTCAGCCAGGTCAGAGGTCAATTTGCTTGCATAGACTAATCAAATGTAGAAAGGTGTTACATATGTACTACGGTATTCATAATTATAATCTTGTTCAATGGTATTGGCATTGACTGCAAAAATATGCAAATAAATAACAGAGTTCTTTCTAAAGTTGTCTTGGCAGTTACTGCGCAGCTCATATTGACACAGTGCATTTCGACACTTTGCATGTATTGTATAATGTTATGGTTATGTATTTTTAATAACAAAACATCCAGGACAATTGTCTTGTCCGAACACGATTATCACGAGCCATGTAATAACTAAGCAAATTAGTCACGTGTTCATTTATTCAAATACATGTTCATTCACTGACATCACATTGTTCACAAATATGTGATAGGTATTTTTTTGATGTTTGAAAACCTTTCACTTAGGTAACCGGGATTCGATTGTTCTCCACGCTGGACTCACAAAAAAAACACAAGCTCCATTCATGTCCAAAACGATTCTCTGCTTGTCTCCAGCTTTTCACTCCTTAACCAATTACAATCAGTATAAGAGACTCCAAGGCCTTGCCTTCAAACAAACAACCAATCACATGAAAGTTTTACACATCATAATCAATTGATTAATCGTCAATCTATTAAGAAAACCACTATCATATTGTCAACGCTAATTTATATTTATGGGTTTAATAGTCTTGCAATAACATTCCACAAAGATACCGCATGAGTTTAGAATCGCAAACAACATTAGTTTAGAATTACGACCACCGTACTGTAATCTTTAAAAAGTTGCAAACTCATGAGATGTCTCGGCTGATTTCGACTAGTTCGCCATCTGGCCTCATCATTAACCTTTATCAGTTTTTTAACCTTTATCAGTAGATGTCATGGCAACCACTATTAAGCTGAAATATAAATCATGACAAATAACGAATGTGTCTGTTTTTCCCTTCAGTGTCGACGTGGGATGTATGGATATCGAGCATCCAGATTGGTGTGATATGGTATTTCTCGCCAACGAATGTGTTTGTTACCTCTCTCTGACCGATGTTGACGATTTCGCTCGGGAACACAGTGCCATAAATTGAGTAAAATATGGTAAAACGCGTTTGTATTACTTCGGAAGGACTGGCTCCTCCACCGCAAAAGCTGCAATGAAATGATCCCGAATTATATATCATATACTGTCAATGGAGATATTAATACTATGGCCCAATGAACTTTTTTCTCAAGGAAGTTATATTTTAAGCTTGTTCATTTATTTATTAATTATGAATTTTAAATCCATCTATGCATTGTTTATTTAATATTGATGTCCTTGCAACGTTTTATTTTGTATAATCCCGAACTATGAAGCAGATATCTATACCGTAACACATTAATACCGTATAGAAGTTCCAAGTTCGAATACTTAAGTGGCGCAAATGCTACTCTCGCCTTGTATGGAATAAAGAGAAACGTTGTTGTTTTTTCTATAAAATTAGTTAAAATCAAGTTTATCATCTAGATTGTGTTTTATGTGAATAGTTTAAACGAATTCCTGTATGATTGTTTGCGTCAAATAAATGGTGCAATGTTGTCACAATGTAAACATGGAATTTAGATTTAGGATTTACTATTAAAAACTCTGGGGAAAGAATGTGGGACTACTGCTCACGTTATGTTTTCCTTCGCCTAGTTTTGAATTACATTGTTGCAATGTTTTTGTTCATCTCTGCAAATATATGTCGTTTTTTTTTTTATAAATTTTCGTTCTCATATTTTTTTACTGTGCAGCTTATTTTTTTTTCAACTTCCGACATCTCCCTAAAACATTCCAATGGCCAACCCTTTATGTGTATAAGCACTACAATGAATAGGTCTTGACTAACGAAAGAAAACAGCTATGATGATATTGTAACTTTTTGTTTTGTTCAGAACGTAAATATACATTGGTAGTTTGACAAATAATTGTTGATTTGTTGGCATGCGTGTAGTTAGTTAGTTATTTAGTTAGTGTAGATTAATATCTAGATTAATATCTGCACCATATCTAATAACAATGAGGTTATTAC